AAATTACTCACGGAAAAAAAGATATATTTTTTTACTAAAAATAGAAATTCTTGATTTTGAACATGATGCATTACTGTAGTATTGAAACTGTCCCCCCAAAAAAGATAGATGTAAAATGTAAGGGTTGAAAAACTGGATGCAAATATTTTAGGTCTTTTAAAAAAAAAAAAAAAAAAGGAAAAAACTATAACTTAAGGCAAAAGGAAACAAGAGATGTTTCTAAAACTCATATGCCCTCTCCCCCAATTAATTGGAATTTTTCTAAGTCTAAAGGACATAAATCTGTCAAAAATGACTCTATAATCGTACCCTAAACAGAAGTGACCTATATATTTTTTTGATAAATCTGTATACTGAATTTCATTTCAGTATGTGCAACCTCTGCAAAGAAAATGAACAGAAACTGCATATAATTGGAATTTTTCAAAGTCCAAGGGGCATAACTCTGTCAGAAATGGCTCGATCCTCCCCAAAACTTAGATATTCTTATGATAAATCTGTATATATAAGACTGCAGAACATTAACTGGCAAGATTGAAAATATACACTTACGTCATTTCTATCTGTTACAATCAAAACATTCAATGATAGACAATGAAATGGGCCGGTACAATTTGACGCGGACAAGGGGAAAACATTGGATTGAAATTCTAGTTTGAAATTCATTTTCAATCCACCTGAGCTGTTTTCAAAAGCCAAGTGTGAATGTATGATCCAAAAGACAAATAATTCCCAAATACATGTTGGTTGAAATTTATATTATAATGAGTTTATAGCCTATACTAGTAATATATTCTTATGGACACTTTTAAAAGTCATAGAAGACATTTTTTCAGGAGACTGCCATATGATTCTAGGGGGGGGGGGGGGGGGGGGGGGGGGGGGGGGGGGCAAAATTTCTCAAGTCAGATCATGCATTGTACCAAATAGTTTTTAGGATGACAAGAGCTTTTTTAGTTTTGTCTTCAATGAAAAATGTTGACAACTTTCTTATTTATTTCCAAGATAATTAAGCCCCCCTCTCCCAATGCACACATAACAAGTACATGCATAAATTATACCAAACAGAAATCAAATATTTGTCCCTTCGTATATTCCTTCAAAATGCTGGACAGAAAATCCTGATTTATATATTATTTTAAAACTATACCGAAATTGATATTATTTGTTCTCTGGGTCAATCAGTAATAATTTGCCTTCTAGCGTAGCTGAGGTGTATTGAAAATGAATTTCAAACTAGAATTTCAATCCAATATTTTCCCCGGCCGCGTCCACGTCGAATTGTACCCGCCCATTTCATTGTCTATCATTGAGTGTTTTTATTGTAACAGATAGAAATGACGTAAGATGCATATTTCCAATCTTGCCAGTTAATGTTTCACGGTCTTACCAAATTTCATTTTTTTCTTAAATTTTCCTATGTAAATTTCTGATTGCCTGTTGTACTCCAAACATATCCTAGGGGTCAAAATTCAAAGAAACTCACACAGATCTACTCTATGTTATTAGGCTTTCACGAGCTTCATCGGCCCATGTGTTGTTGTTGTTTTTTTTTAGAGTAATACTTTTTAAAAATGCCATACTATTTTCACTAATTTTAATTATCTCCCCTTTAAAGAGAGTGTGGTCCTTCATTTGAAAAAAAAATTGAATTTCCCTCATTCTTTGATGCCCTGTGACAAGCTTGGTTGAAAATGGCCCAATGATTCTTAAGAAATTGAAATAGTGAAAAGTTTACAGACGGATGGACAAGCTGATATATAGAAGGACATGAGACAAATTCATCGGGAGAGTTCACTTAAGCTTTAGTTCTGGCAAGCTAAAAAATGAACAAGAGGCCCAAGGGCCTTGAATCGCTCTTCTGATAAATTTTACAATCTATCACTTCTATTAGAAGCCTCCAACTCTATTAGTATCATAAGACCCAAAATGCATCAACTTACAAAATTTGATAATATCTAGCCAGTTAAGACTGAAGAAATTATAATATAATTATAAAATACCATAAGTTGATTGAAATTTTCTGAGGACTCAAGATACATTAATTGACAAAGACTGATGATTCTAATTAAATAAGTACCTGAGATATTCAAAAGTAGGACACCATGACCTACTTTTTGGTCAACATTCTCTGAAAACCCAAGATGCATCAACTGACAAAGTTTGATGATTCTAAGCCAATTAGTACCAGAGATAATTAAATATAGCCATCAAATGTCAAAAGTAGGTCACAGTGACCTACTTTTTGGTCGACGTTATCCAAAAACCCAAGATGCCTAAACTGACAAAGTTTGATGATTCTAAGCCAATAAGTACCTGAGATATTCAAAATTAGGTCACCGTGACCTACTTCTTGTTGGACATTCAGTGAAACCGCAAGATGCCTCGACTGACAAAGTTTGATGATTCCGAGCCAATAAGTACCAGATATAATAAAATATAGCCATAAAATGTCAAAAGTAGGTCACAGTGACCTACTTTTTGGTCAACGTTCTCCGAAAACCCAAGGTGTCTAAACTGACAAAGTTTGATGATTCTAAGCTAATACGTACCTGAGATATTCAAAAGTAGGTCACCGTCACCTACTTTTTATTCAACATTCTCCGAAAACCCAAGATGCCTCAACTGACAAAGTTTGATGATTCTTAGCCAATAAGTGCCTGGGATACTTAAACATACTGCTTAAACATACTGACTTAAACATCGCCATAAAATGTCAAAAGTAGGTCACTGTGACCTACTTTTTGGTCGACAATCTCCGAAAACCCAAGATACATCAACTGACAAAGTTTGATGATTTTAGGTCAATAAGTACCAGAAATACTTAATTATAGCCACAAAATGTCAAAAGTAGGTCACCGTGACCTACTTTTTGGTCATCACTCTCTGAAATCCAAATATGCATCGACTCACAAAGTTTGATGATTCTAAGCCAATAAATACCTAAGATACTTAAATATAGCCATAAAATGTCGAAAGTAGGTCATTGTGACCTACATTTTGGTCGACATTTTTCAAAGACCCAAGATGCATCTACTGACCAAGTTTGATTATCGTAGGTCTGAAGGTAATCAAAATATGCGTTTTAAACAATTTGAAAACAAATGTTGGCAAAATTCAAAAAGTAGGTCACAGTGACCTAATTTTTCATAAATATGTTTTTAGGTCCCATGATGCATCAAAGTACAAGATTTGATGATTCTAAATCTCCCAGTGAAATAATGGGATTTAACGTTTTTAAAAAGATAAGTCATAAAGTTCAAAAAGTAGGTCATGGTGACCTAATTTTAAGTTGACATTGTTCGAGGACCCAAGATGCATCAACTGACAAAGTTTGATGATCATAGGCCTTAAAGTGTCCAAAATATGCCTTCAAATCAATTTGAAAACAAATCCCCGCAAAATTTAAAAAGTAGGTCACCGTGACCTACTTTTGAGTTAACATGATGTGAAGTCATAAGATGCATCAACTTACAAGATTTGATGATCCTAGTCCTTATAGTAAGCAAAATATACACGTTTTTATTAATTGTAAATTTAGGTCAACTTTGAAGTGACCTTGAGACCACGCCCTTTGCCCCAGGGTAATTCCCCATGCAAATTTTAATCTTCGATATATCCTGATCCTTGCATGTAAGTTTGGTGAAAATCTGCCTGATGGTTATGGAGAAGAAGATTTTTTAGCAACCAGTACTTTTGGTTTTGTTTTCCTGATTATCTCCCCTTGTTTAAGGGTCCCAACCCTTATTTTAGTATAAATGGTAGCCCTTGGGCCAAGGATACCCTGTGACAAATTTGGTACTGATTGGCCAAGGGGTTCTTGAGTTATGGAGCATATTCTAAAAAGTTTATGCACACCGCACAAATGGCCATAGCATTATCTCTTTGAGCCTTTGGCTCAGAAGAGCTAAAAATCTGTATATTGTACAGAAAACAGCCAAGACAATACCAACAGACACATAGATAGAATCGGAAGCCAGACAATCAGAGAAACTCTCCTGAGCTATAAACAAAGCTTAATATAGTAGGAATTCAGTTATTTGATGCTTCATTTATCCACACGATATTCTGTTTAGATAGTATGTAAGTAGGCTGGGATCTACATTCAGAAAGTAAATGTACATTGAGAAAGGGGTTTTCCATTAGTAAGAGGCATGACTATTTAGATTGAAAGCAACAGGGGAAGGGTCAGAAGCATATATATAGGTTTTAGACCACCAAATGGGACAATTAAACTGGCTGTTTAACCTATAAATGCAAAAACTTAACTGTCAGTTCAGGAACACATTTCTCTTTCTAATAGAATACGTACATTAATAATTATTTTGCAGTGAATGTCAATTCACAATGAAAATCACTGCTAACTTAAATAATCAATAATAATGGTTTCATGAATCTGACTTAAGGCTATATTGTAAAGTTTCAATATTTATACATTATAATTTCAGTTTATTACATTTTCCTGAGATAATTTAATAAAATTTTTGCCATCATTTGACTTCTTTTAACCCAGTGATTACCATTAAAATAAGTTTTTTTAAACTATATAGGACTGAAATAAATATGTTTGCATAAATTTGCAAACAAGTCCTCATTGAAGTTTATTCCTTCCCACTAAAAAGTCTAAGAAATTAAATAAAACCCACCAAAGAAGCTAATATCTTTTATTTTCTTTATTAAAAGTTCATGTCATTTCCAATAGGTGATCAAGTTCTTGGCATGCATGATCACATGATCCAAAAATAATCCTCTGTCACACCGAATGTAATTAGCACTTATATTCAATTTTTAGACTTTATAACCATATGCCACCTACAGGTTGCAAAGAAATGGGACAACGCCACCGAGTTATTCTGTGGGTAGAACTCTACATATAGTGCAGTCGAGGCTGTGATTGGAGTCATTTATTGTTCTGTGGGTTACATCCTTTGACGGGGATTGGTAAATCGATGTAATGTCCCATGGTTAGTAAGAAATAACACACTGATATTGTCACCTACCTTGCTGCTTGTCTTGACATCCCCAACGACCTTAAAACAAGAGAAAAAAATCTAAATCAATAAGGATAATTACCATATTATATAATCGGAAAGAAAATTTTTTTTCATTTTTTTCTGAAAATTCAAAACCTTGAGAGGGTTTGTAAAAACTGAAAATAAAATAAATCCTGAAAGAACTTTTATGTAACACTGATTTAAAATAGCCAGTATTGAATAGGAGGTAATAGAGATTCTAACAAGTCAGGTTGACATAGTGACTCACATCGGGAGCCGTCGACTTCCATTTTCAAAACTTATGAATTCTTTGTATCAATATTTAGATACAATGCAGCTTTAAAACAAATATTTTCTTTTTAATATTTGGATAAATACCATATAAGTTTGTCCTTAAGATAAAGTACATGTATAAATTTTTATGTAGAAGTAATCTTTAGCGGTTTATTGAGGCCTAGAAAGACAACAGAAACTTCCAATGCAGAATGAAATTTAAACACTAAAATTTTTTTCTTACATATAGAAACTTGAAAATCATTGAACATACAACTTGATGAGATATCACATCAAGTTTGAAGCAATTTACAAAGATCAATCCTCCATTTAATACAAAATATATAGAAAAGCTTTTTAATTATAGATCACAAAATTCTCACTATTGTAATCATTAGTCTATAAGCATCACTAATAATAGTCCAAAAAATTACCATCAGCAAGAAGCCCATAAAAAGAATTTTGAATTAAGCTCAAGATCACTGTCCAAGGTTAAGGAAAGCAAAACTGGAGCAATGAATCCTAACAAGATCAACTGATAAAAAAAAATTGCTTTACAACACAATGTTGACTATCAATGGCAGAAAGATATTATAAACTATAGAGCAAACATTACTTGAATACACTGTATATACATACATGCACTTTCCAGTAATTGCTTTTTTAATCAACTAAATAAAATAATAAAATATACATGAACCATGAAGAGTATGTATAGCCTTGATCACTTAATCAAAGAAAAAAAAATAATTAGCTTTTGCAAGAAGTAATTCCAATACAGAATAATATTGATCTTGTAAGTGAAACAAGAATCAATAACTAACTTATATTTCCTCCTTAGTGGCTATTATATAAACATGATTCTCTCTCTGGCATATGGCATCCAAAATACCTGGACAGTGTAAGGTGTGAAAATACCTATACTTGATACTTAATATAAGCAATGCTAACATAGCACAACACTACATCACATTTATACACAGTTATAAATATATATATATTTATTATATATCTACGTGTATTATAACGATACTGTCTCACTACTAATTCTGTTCCCCCCCTTGCTTCAAGTATGACAAGAATTGTATTAACAGTTTTTTTATAAGAAATTCTGTATGTTTTCTTGTAAAATCATATTCTCTGTACCGAGCATGTGTAATGCTGTATGTGTATGATTTCCATGGCAATTTCCACACACTTATAATGGATTGACGCAAATTTAGCAGTGATTTTCTTTTTCCATGGCTTTAAAATTGTAAACATTACAAATATAACATGAAATAATTGCTTTTAACAAAGAAAAATTCTCCGTCCCTTACACTTTTTGTATAAGAGTATTTTACTGTTCTTGGTTGGTGTATATTGGTTAGCATTCTGAGCTTTTCATATAATTGTGCTTCATTAGTATGAAAAAAAAATTATGAAACGAAATGTTAAAACTGTTCTTAAAAGAGGGGGATGGCTAAAATCATAGGGAAACTTGGAACACACATCATCATTATTTATCAATGACATAGGTTTGCATTTTCTTTTATTAATTGAAGCTTTTTCAGAGGTACAGATGTCAGAAAACATTCATCATGTTCATTACACAAAAAAAAAATATTATTTTGAAAAAACATTTAAACTTACAGGTAGTCAAAGAATTGAACATAAACCTTTGCAAGCATTATTATAATCGAAAAGTTTTGTCTTTATGATAACAAGAGGCCCACGGGCCTTATAGGTCACCTGAGTATCATGTAACAACTTTCCAACAATTGAATTTGGTTCGTGTTTTAAACCAGAGGCCAGGAAATTCACGGTTTTGAAAGAAGCACCATTGCTGATCATAATTATAAACTTGGCATCTTTACTCTATACACATAACACACCTTCACAAGACAAACTCCAGTAAAGAAGATTTTTGTCAATCATAAACATGTACTTCCAATGTTTACCCATTAGAAAGCTATATACAGAAAAGACAAAAATTAAACACTTTTGACAGTGACTTTGAACTTGCCAGAAAAAACCTTGGATTAAGGTCAGCACAAATGCTCAAGGCATAAGAAATCTTTGTTCAGTGTACCCACTATGAGCTTCCAATTATTTTCCATTACAGTTAAGACCCAAACCAATTTTATACCTTTTCTGCCTGTGACCTTAACTTTATCAGAATGACCTTGTGTGAAGGACGAAGTACACCCTTAACCCTCAGGTCATAAGTAACTTCAGAACTGTACTAAGTTTTAGTTCCAATGATTCTCCATTTATAATTACAAAGACATAACCAGAAATGAATTTAATACTCTTTTGTGCCAGTACCTTGATTTTCATAGAAAGACCTTGGGTCAAGGTCACGACATATCTTCAGGTCATAAGCAATTTTTGTACTACGCACAAGTTGCCCATAATTATCTTTACAAAATCATAGCTTGGACAAAATTGCACAGAAAGATAAAATATTCTTAACATTTTCATTAAGTGTTTAGTGCCTCTTGAACACCAAATTTATCTGCTCAAAAATCTCCCTGCATATATCTATCGCCCCCTTATACGTGTACCACAGATGTCTCCTAAATCACAAATTCCTTGATCAATTTACCTGATATATAACTACTCATGATGTTAAAAAATAAATCAATAATATATTCATTTAGAAATTATTTCTTCTTTTATAAATCGTTCAAGCATTAGATCAGTATGGTGCACTTAAATGTGCAAGCAATAAATTTTAAACTTTCAAATACCAAAAATATATTGCTTTATTAATCTAAATATCCCTATATGAAATACCGTAATAATCTGAGACACTCTTATGCTTTGTTTCCTCTGAAAACTTAACTTTGCTCTGAAGAATTTTTACAATGAAACTAGGATCCTTTAACAATCTATGACATCATACACATTCAGGCATTGTTAACTGTTCAAATCAATTATTATCTCAGATGAACACTTCCTTTAAGAACTTGAGATGTGGATTATTAGTGACTTTGATTATGTAATACCATTGTTTTCTGAAACAATAAGGGGGACACTGATGTCATTTTCCCGCCTTCGTGAAACCTGCTTTAGAACCTCTTTATCTGCACTCTGCTTTAGATCGTTATTCACAAGTGACATTGCAGACAAATCAGACTGCCTGTAAAAGTTTATTTTCTATTTTCACAGCATGTTTTTCCACAAAAATATTTCAAAAAAGTTTGTTGCACCCTTGCACTGTAAATCAGCCTGTAGAAGCAGCTGTCAGGAGCAATTACTTGCATAAAACAATGTCAAGGTTTAGGGGTATATTGAATGACTGCAGAAAATTGCACAACATCTAAACATCAGTCTTACAATAATAAAGATGTTGAAACTGTCTCTAGGTTGACTAGTACCGTCAGATAAAAGCCAAGTTTGAAATTGGTCTACCAATATGGAAATCTGTTTTTTTTATTCATAAGGCATTTAACTTACGAACTAGTCGACCAATAAGATACATTTATTTAATAAAACCTCAAAACAGGTATCATATCCCATGAAATACCGGTAAATGATTTCCTGCCTTGCTTCAATGTCAAAATCCAAGTCCTTCACCTTGATACATTTATGACCTGATTAAAATGATTCCAACTTACCTATCCATCATCAAAAATGTGTAGACCTCAATTTGAGTTGACCGGCATCATACAACACCTAGCTGAGCAGTCACCAACATCCAACATATCCCTATATATAGCAGTGTCATTGACTGAATTACCGGTAGACAAGGTCATGTACAAATTTTTGGCAAGACTTTTGTCTATCAGTTACCACATCAACATGAATAATTTCCTGCTTTAACTTACCAAAACTGAAACTAATAAAAATTCAATCGAATTCTGAAAACAGATTATTTGATGGTATCGCTAAAATTTATAAACTCAGAAATGCCTTCAATGAACATCATTTCACTAGGTTATTAGGTCAGGGTCAGCAGTGAAGTCCTTGACACTTCAAGGACATCTTATTGTGTTAACAGTGGATTAAATGGCAATTTTCGAATTAAGTTTGATATGCACACTGATTTGCATCTTGACTGTGAATCAGGAGTAGGAGTGGGTAAAATGGTGGGAGAGAGATGGAGGGGTGTGTCTCTAATTAATAATAAAACCATCATTACCACTATTTCTGTGATATTAAACTGTATATGACCTAGATATTGTCTTGCTTACTGAAGCAGCCGTCACTCATTATGGATGACTGGCCTAATAACTTATCAACTGATAATCAATCACTTGGTGCTAACTCTTATATATAAAATATCCATAAGTTCCTTGTTTAACATTTTCTTACCTTTAATTAATACAGGCCCTTAAAATTTTTTTTGCAGTGTACCACAGAAGACATTTTTAAAAAATAATAATTTATTTTAATTACAAAAATTACACGTGTGATCATTGTCAGGTGTGAAAACTCACCTGCTTATAGTTAAATAAAACAGCAACAAAGAGGTCCACATACAAAACAACTTAAAATATGTAAATATATATAGCAATGCATATTCTGATCAAATATTTGTGTAGACTAATTACCTCTCCCTTAATTTTATAAACCTCATGCCCACCGGTAATAAGTATATAATACAGATAAAATTTCAAACTCATATTTATGTGAAAAATATAGTTGCCTTTATATACCAGTGTTTAAAGCAAGCTTCCATATACATGTATTTTTATTTCTCTGCAAAATGTTGCAATATCACAAAAAAGAAAATAGATGTATTAAACACAAAATTCCAAAAACATTTTCAAATCTAAAAGAGGTAAAAATTCTCATTTGTGTGTGTGTGTCTGTAAAATGACAAAAATAGTTTTCAAACAACTCTTCGGAAAATGTTCCCTGCCCAGCAGGCAAGCTGTTTTAGCATTATACATTCAGTCTTATAAACTACAGTCTGTGATAAAAATAGCTTCTGCTGGCATTGTCATGAAAGGCATGTTGAATAGCTACAACTCAGGTGAAAATATGCAAAGTTGGGTTGTCCTTGAAACCTAACTTCAAAAAACACATTTTCTAATCACCTATGAACCAAGTGACACGGCAATTTTTGTTCACTCTGTTAAACATTTCATACAATCATGGCTATATATAAATCAGCTTGCTATATCCAGAACAATGTACAAACCTTCCCTTTTCACAGACAGAGCTAATTAATGCATGCATCTCCAGGTATTAACAAAACAGCGCAAGAAGTGACCCTGCATGGAGAATAAAACATGCACTACGTGTGCAGAATAAAAGGTTAACACAGTTGTTCTACATTTTCTTTAGTACCTATGTTTTGGTAGAACTTAATCCTTTTCTGTGAATTAAAGCTGGTATACCATAAATATAACCCTAACCTAATGACCCGATCAGTATTATTGGTCTGCCTGTCATAATCCAGCTTGACATTGTAGCAGCTTGAGGCAAAACAAAGGGTCCAGAATTCCATTCTCTATATATCGACACGCTTAATTTGAGATTCGCTAAGAAACAAGTATAATCTTTATTACCTTCCGATGTATCCAGCTCGATATACATTCCATTCCGAGTTATAATAATCACACAAGTACTTATGTCATATAAAGTAGGGTACTGACATACAGCTAATGCCACATATGCGACAGAGTTATTGTAACCTAATCCAGATTTACTCTTGTTGAAGCTGAGAAAATACTACATCCATATGTACATGTGTATCGGTACTAGTACATGCATGTATCGAATATGAAAACATCCAACCAATGACCAGATTGTCCACACAATTCCATGAAAAAAGTTACAAGAGGCCCATGGGCTACAATGCTCACCTGAATCACTTCTCCTCATCTCATAGACATGAAGATATTAAAATGAAAACTTAAGGCATGTTGTCAACTTTACAAATTAGTATTAGAAGCTTAAAATATTCTTGTACTTTTAACTTTGATGTCTATTTTTGTATGAAACTTTTTCCCCCTATTGTGACCCAAAACTAATCTCCCAAGGCAAATGATTTAAACAAAATTGAATATACACTAAATGCATGTTGTTTGCACATTATGATTCATTATAGCAATATGAGCTGTATCTTTGAGAATTTTGTTTTTCCGGTAAAATGTGCTATTATGATTAATTTGTATGTAATTTAAACCCTTATGACCAATAAGCCCAAAATAAAAGTTTAAAAATGTTTCAGAAGAAATATTTCTGTACAACCGAATATACAGTTTTATATAAGAAATCATTATTGTACAGGACGACAATAATTCAATTTTTCTTCAATCAAAGCTAATAAAAAAATTTCCATTGCAAATATGAGCAACAGAAGTTTATGAATGATTTATTTGTATGTCATTAAATTAGTTATTTACAAATTTGCAATAAAATTTTCTGATCAGAAAATGTGAAACATGCAGCTCATATTGCTTTAAAATTTATTGTAGCCTAAGCCTAGCTTTTCAAGAAGCTTTTTATTACAGTTTTTTTATCTAATTTGTGGCCTCATCCTCGCCTCTTGAAAGCCCATTATTTAAACACATTCTATATTATCTCATCACATAAAAGATGCTTTACACTAAAAATAACATATGAACAAACTGAATCAACATTGAATATATAAATCTATTTTAAGTTTGTTTTCTGGGAACTTATAATGGTTCTTTGGATTTTTTAATGTTATAACCTATTTTCTGCATATTAAATATATCCCCTAAAAGAAGGTGTTAGCTCCATTTGAACAAACTTGAATTTTCTTTACCCATGCAAAAATGCTTTATGGTCAGTCTGGTAGAAATTGGCACAGTAATTCTGGAGCAGATGTGAAAACTTTATATGGATGTAGGAGTGCATATGCACATACATAAGTACCAGGTATGTACTCACTTTAAAGGCATTTATAGGGCTGAATAACTTTAAGGCGATTTTATTGGCTAAAATATCACTCACAGAATATGCAAGCTACATACTCAGTATGTTACCTACTGGAAAATCATTCATCAGAGAAGCTCACTTAAACCTTTGGCTAATCAGGTGAGCTAAAAACATATAAACCACTATAAATTTATTTTTATCCTTCAATTGTCCACTGAATATTATTGGGGTAAGTTTTAAATCACCTGACCAAACAAAAATCTACTTGCATGCACCAGAAGTATTTCAACTAATAATTCATGAAAGATCAAACTAGATTAAAAACTGACCGACTTTAAAGGTAATAAAGGACCCTGGTCACAGATTAATCAATGACTATGGAGTGATTTCAATGGCCAAAATTTCACTCCCAAGAATATACAAAGAGGACAGAAAGGTTCACATATTGTAAGGAAATATAACTTATTATGAACAAAGCTAAGCAAACATTGCAAGAGGTTGTGTGTTAACAAATGACCACTCAACCTTGGTCAATGTTTAGAAAGTTATTGGTTAAAATCAATATGTTTTATATCAGCGTAAATTACCATAAAGAAAGGCAATAAATTGTGCTCCATATTTTCGGGCTCTCCCACCACTTTTGGGGTACTTCAGGTGCCAGGAACCATGCAGGGCCATTAAAATTGTGAAAATTAGTGTAAGTTTCAGAAGTAATTAGGAAAAAAATATAAACTGTCAACTTGTCAGTTGTCACATTTGGAAGTTTTGTTTTCAATTTTTGATTTTTTTTAATTTATGGTTTTATTTTAATTTTAAAAAAATTCAATTTAAGATTATTCAACGATCTTTAAATGAACTGGAAAATCAAAACACATTGAGTTGGGAAAAAGATTTTTTTTATTATGATTTGAGTCTAAATTGAGAACAAGGATTTCCAGTAGCCAATTATACAAAATGATAGAAATTAAGAGTCTCCATATATTTTCCTACTAACTCGGTAACTGAAATCTGTCTCTCTCTACATCTTAACTGAATCAAAGCAATAGGGATATTTGAGAATAAATTAGGAACTTATAGGATATGCAGTCATCACAAAGTGTATGTTTATATTAATATTCTATATTTAGCTTATAATTTTAATCTTTATAAAAAATATTACATAGCAGTATACATTGTACATGTACTTCACATTTACTATGACATATTGAAGCATCTCATGATACTCTTGTGGTGAACAATTTCGATAAGTTTTTTTTTCAGTAAGTAGCAGCATCTAGCTGTCAAAATATCTTTAATTAAGCAATCTGTTGGACTCCTTTCATGTACATACATATCTATTCATATATTTCTTTAACCCATTACCATCAAAAATAATTTAACAGAATATGTCCCTGATTCTGATAAAGAAGTCAATTATCATTAAATAGTGTTATCTTTAAATAGATTGATCAATACAAGTATTTCCTGGTGCATGCTGAGATTCATGCAGAACAATTTTCTCATCTTCCTTAAACAGCAAAAAAAGCAATAGAACTTGTGAATTTAATCACTTTCTTGTTAATAACTGGGTTTTTTTTCCATTGAACTAGATATATTATGTAAGTCCCAAATGCTTTAAAATGGAAGTGTAATGGTACTTTACCACAGCTACCCATCTATAATCTAAAAATTGAAATTTTTAAAATATTATGCTTTGAGAAACAAGGTTAATATGCCCAAATGTGACAATCAGATTAAAAAAACTAATTAACATGATTACTCTCTAAAGACCTCAATTTCATTAGGATTAACATCTTCCTATGTCTAGATTTACCCTTGACCTTTGATCTTGTGACCTCAAAATCTCCATTTGTCAACTACTTTTAGGAACAAGTTTGATGTCTGCAAAATCAAATGATTCTCATATCTTTCTACCTCAAACTAAATAGGGTTTTCTATAAGGAGAGCTAGGCAAGCATACCAAGATCAATGTCCATTAAGCAAATGATTCTTGCTATGTATAGAGTATTTTGACCCTTTACCGTTGCCTCTGTGACCTCAAAATTAATAGGGGTCAACAAATCAGGGGTACCAACGTACCAAGTTGACAACTTGTAGAACTTGTGTCTTATCCTTTTGACTTTGTCAATAAAATATGTTCAATTCAATCAAAAAAAAATTTTAAATGATTTTTTTTCACTTTCACAATACTATTTTATCAGTTGTCAGATAGTTTAAAAAATGTTTAATCTTTGTTTGGCAAACCAAAACAATATGATGCAAATGCAATTTTACACTTAATATGCAACTGATTTTGCAGTTAAGAGATAATATCTTTCAGCAAAAAAATCTGCAATATTTAAGTGTTTTCATGTTAAAAAGCACCTGCAAATTATGTTTTTTCCAGTTCTCTTCCCAACATACTACTAGTTTTTAACTGTTGCTATTTTTCAAAAAATTTGATACGAGTGCCCTATATCAACAAAAATAGTAACAAAATCTTGTAACACTTGAATGAAATCAAACGCCATTTACCTTGTCTTGTTCGTTCCCTCGTGTCTTCACACCGATTACATAATATCATCATCAATCGTTTAGATTTTTAGAGTATCGTTTTCTCTTGATAAAAATCTTTCTTAACAAATAAATGGTCGATATAGAGAATTACTATACCATAAAATATACCAGTCTCCTACAAATTTAAACATGATAAAAACGCTTAAGTTTAAAATCGGAAGCCACTCATAGTCATATTTTCAAAATCACCGAAGCAGAGCAGACTCCACTAATTTATATCTGTACGCCGAGAGATTTTCTACAATACTTACGATTGGTTTATCTGTGACATCCTCGTCTAAAGAATTGGAATTTGATGATACTTCCATTCTACTACTAAGAAAAAATTAAAACTGGGGATGTAGAGCATTCAACCAGAGAAATAATGGTTTCAGGGCATCTCCAACCATCTTCTGGATTACATAACATTTCTTACCTTTAATTTCAAAAGAGTTCTGAATCTAAGAGAGATAATCCGATAAGAAATATTGAACTTTTCAAGCAAAATAAGAGTACTCGCGCTTTGCAAGTAAGTTGGTGAAATAGGATATGAAAAAAAGAAGAAAAACGTCCCAGGGATATATTGTTTTTGTCCTGTCTGTCTGTTTGTCTGTCTGTCTGTTTTTCCTGTCTGTTGTCAAATTTAACCTAGCCCATAACTATTGATGGGGCTATGGTTTTCATATTTCACAGATGTATTCCTTGTGACAAGACCTTTCTTTGGGTACCACCAAATTAAACCTCTTGTCCTTGACCTTGGAATTTCACCTCCTTTGACAAAAAAAAAATCACTCTTTAACCTTGGCCATAACTTTTGAAGAGTTGGAGATAGTGCTTTCATACTTCACATGTGTATTCATTGTGACAAGACCTTTCAGCTGGTATTGATATTTTTGACCTTTTGACCTTGATCATAGAATTTGACCCACTTTTTAAAAGCTGTAACCTTGGTCATAACTTTTGAACAGTTAGAACTAAGGCTTTCGTATTTCACAGGTGTATTCCTTGTAACAAGACCTTCCTTTGGGTACCAACACTTTTGACCCTGACCTTTGGAGTTTGACATGCGTTTGAGAGAATTCAACCCTCGCCATAAACATATCTTGTTAAACAGTTAAAAGTATGCATATGCTGAGAAAAACAATGAAAAGTTGTTCATTCACACTACATGTACACTACAGTAAGTAAATTAATTGACAGAAGAAAGTACGTGTATGCAGCTAGATAACACGTAAACAACTACTTATTTTAAAAAGTATTTTATATTACATCTAAACAACGAAAACTAAATTAACAAGGTGTGTTTGTAAAACACTGATGCCCCAGTATGGCAACATAGCGCAGGTTACAACTTCTCAAATGCAAATCAAATATAATGGCACCCAAAGTAAGTATGTCTCACAAGAAATACTATTGCGATTTATGAAAGCCCTAGAACCACATGTTAAAAGTTATGGCCAAGGTAAACGTTTTTAAAAAGTAGGTCAAACTCCAGGGTCAGGGTCAAAGGGTCAAAGTTATTGGTTTCTAATAAAAGGCCTTGTTACAAGGATTACAAATGTAAAGTATGAGAGCCCCAGCTCTAACCGTTCAAACGTTATGGCCAAGGTTAAAGTTTTTTTTTTAAATAGGCCAATCTAAAAGGTCAAGGTCAAAAGATCAAAGTTGTTGGTATCCATTGAAAGGTCTTGTCACAGAAAATACATATTAGAAGTATGAAAGTCCTAGCATCAAAGGTTATGGCCAAAGTAAAATTTTGTGTAAAAGTGTGTTAAACTCCAAGGTCAAAAGGTCAAATTTTGTGCTACCCAAAGAAAGATCTAGTCATAAGGAGTACACATGTGAAATATGAAAGCCATAGCCCCACCCAGTCAAAAGTTATGGGCAAGGTTAAAGGTTAGCGGACAAACACACAGACAGACGGACGGACATGGCAAAACTATTCATCCCCGAATCTTCGATTTTACTATTTATTCGTAAAATAAATTTTTCTTTCAAAATGAGAGATATCTCTCTAGCATAGAGAGATATCTCTTTAGCTTATGGAGATATCTCTTTAGCTTATAGAGATATCTCTTTGACTAATAGAGATATCTTAATACTTTAGAGAGATATCTCTTTCAACAAAAGAGATATCTCTTTTTGAAAGAGAGATATCTCTTTTAGTAAGAGAGATATCTTTATAAGCTAGAGAGATATCTCTTTAAACGAGAGAGATATCTCTTAAAGTTAGAGAGATATCTCTTTAACAAGTTTAAAAGAGATATCTCTCTTAATTAGAGAGATATCTCTTTAGATTTTCAAAAAGAGATATCTTTCTAAGCTAAAGAGATATCTCTTTTAATGAAAGAGATATCTCTTTTCCAATCACCCTTAAAATAAAATAACTAATTCTCCCGTTAAAAACGAAAGCGAAACAGGAAGTAATGTCTGTTAAGTCGTTCGTTTTCTGGTTATGGAAAAGAAGAGGATAAAATGGACTGATTGATACAGGTAAACAACGTTTAATTGCTTTATTGTTTTAAGCGAAAGTAACAGGATTTCAAACCAAAACGTCCCCCAAAGATTGGTTCCATATTATATTTATTTCATTTATTTAGCTCACAGGACAGCTGAGCCGGGGATATAGAATGCGAAGTCAATAAAAACAAATTCGAAATAGGCCTACATGCACCCAATTTCATCGATCACGGGAATACAGGATTGATTACTACGTCGATTAAACATAATCCTGATAGAATTAATGTTCTTTTTTAATTAATTAATACTCCAAAAATAAAAACGTCCAACATTACTTCTTTCATGTAAACAGGGATGTATATATTCAACTTCAATATTAACTGTAGGACGTTAAACGACATACATGTACGATCAATATATTAACTGTAAAGCCTTATGACCCCCTTCCCAAACACAGGCACCTGAAGTATGGATAATACCCCCCCCCTTTTTTTTATATTTTTTTTTTAATTTAACAAAAAAAAAAGGGGGGGTATCATCCATACTTCAGGCGCCCGTGTTCCCAAATACTCTTACAATTATGAGAAAGACATTTTATTTTCTTAAAATAGGCATTAGAAATAGGAATTTTCTTATTTGTCTTAGCTAGAACAATCCCCAATTTATCCAATGTTGTCACCAAACAGGTCTGCACTGGGTCCATAAGACATTCATCATTCAATGGTAGAACATTTTATCTACATTTGTCATATTTTACAGAGATCCAGGAGGTACTGAAAAAGGGACAATGCTTCGACTGAATGTGTCATCCATGTACCAGTATAGACCTGTTAATGAGGCATATCCAATAATTCTTATACTCATGAAGAGTGCGGCAACTCCCAAGTAGTTAAGGATGGCACTCATTTTAAATCAGGTACAGGATAATTTTTTGGGCTGCACTTTTCTTTACTTCAATATTTCAAACTTACTAGTTAAGTATCAAGTCCACAAAAGCTCAAACACCATGGTGAATCAATGGGCCATAATGATAGTTAAATTTGTCATATGCTTTCTTATTAAATTATCAATTTGAAATTTGATTGGTAAAAAACATTTATTAACAAGTACAATTCTTCTACTGTGTGCCTGTCATCCCAACAATTGCAAATGCACATCGATAGGTTCTCCATGAAAATTGCTAACTGCGCAGAATGGTTGCACATTTTTTCAATGAACGACATTTTCTTAACATTGAATCCTTCAGTATAACAAGACAAATATTGCATGCTTATTTTAATACAATATAAATAAACTTAAGAACAAATTTAAGGATTGAAGTTTAATTTGTATATTTGGTAGTTACATGCGTAATTAGTTTTATATATAAAGGATGTACACAAGCATTTTATAACATTGAAAATATTCAAGAAAGTATTCTCTTAATTTCTTGTAGATCCTCACTTCTAGGATGTTTTCCATGTTCTTGTGAAAAGTGTTTTACATGGCACCATTCAGCTACAAATACTTTGCCGGTGGAACTGTGACATCAATCAACTGCTCATGCCACTGCTAATTGGCAGAATTTCCTTTGGGACAAGCAAACTGTTTCAAATATTTTACACCTGCAAGTTAGTACTTATGAAATTTTGTATGCAGGAAGCTAAAAGCTAATGAGTATTGAAAATACAAGCCAGATGAAGTACAAAAGTGTTGATACAAGTCATTTAGAATTTTCAATTCTTTGCAGGTAGTGATGAGTGTACTGGAAGTTTTTTCGGGATCTTGTCCGACATCATAGGTACAACTGGTCACTGTGCTTTCTTGGTTATATAAGCAGGCATATTGTTAAAGCGGTGACACATGTAGCTTCAAATGATGCTTGACTGTTTAAGTGTTTTTCTTTGATTTATAAGTAAACCTGGATTGATCTCTGATGCAGTAATATAGAGCCATGTCCATTCTTTAATATTCCATCATCCCACTGTCACAAAGTACTGAAATAAAAATGATTTTGATTTTAAAAATTTTTGGTTTTTATATGTAACATAAAATTCTACAGAAATTCAAATATTAAAACTACTTCAAAACAAGATGTGTTTGTGAAACACTATGCACCAGGCGGCAACAAATTCAAACAAGTTTTTTTAAGCATATAGGTCATAGTCAAGGTCACAAGGTCATTGGCCTTGGTGTCATTTGAAAGAGCTTAATTGATGGAGCATGCATACCAAATATGAAGTCTCTATCTTTAACGATACAAAAGGTATGGTGAAAGTTCAAAATGGTATTTATAGCATTAAAGTCACATTAAAGGTCAAAAGTTCACTGGCCTTGGTGTCATTTGAAAGAGCATAATTAATGAAGAAGGCATTCCAAATATGATTTCTCTATCTTTAATGTATCAAAAGTAAAGGCGAAAGTTAAAAAAAAAGCTATTTTTAGCATATAGGTCACAGTCAAGGTCACAAGGTCATTGACCTTGGTGTCTTTTGAAAGAATTTAATTAGTGGAGTAGGCATATTAAATATGAAGTCTGTATCTCTCATGGTTCAAAAGTTATGGTGGAGGTTAAAGTTGACAAAAGACAAACAGACATAGAAACAGGATATAAACAATAGACAATAATTCACTTATTTTATGATTGTGTATATTAATGTGACTGAATTTTGGAATCAATTTGTACAAAGGTTTAGTGTCATTGAAAAAGATTACAAAATATCCAAAAGAACTGTTTTACTTGTTAATATAGAAGGAAGTTGTTTAGAAAATTTTCTTTTATTAGTTGCAAAAAATTTTATTTACTATTCAAGATCACAAGATAGTAAACCATTATTTATTGATGCAGTAAAGTTATTCAAGTATTACAGAAACATAGAAAATTGTTGTGAAAAAGTTTTTCAATGTACATGATGTAAGGACAAAATACTCAGTAAATGGGTCCTGTATGATAATGTGTACAACAAGTGATGAAAAAATCAAAATTGTAATTTTTTATTAATTTATATCTACACATTTGGGTACATCTGTTTTGTTTTTGGATAAATTGTATGTTTAACTGTCATATGTTTAAATATATGTACATTTATTATGCCCCCCCCCCCCCCCTTTGAAGAAAGGAGGGCATATTGCTTTGCTGCTGTCTGTCAGTCCATTTAGTTTCCATTCATTTTCTTCACAACCATTGCACTGAAATGAAATTTGGTATACAGCCTTACAGGTATATCAGATGAATATCTAGGTCAAGTTCTGTTTTGGGTATGATCATCGCGCCATTTTTGACAGAGTTATACCCCTTGGCTTTAGAAAAATTCCAATTACTTGCAGTTTCTGTTCATTTCCTTTGCAGAGGTTGCACATAGTGAAATGCAATTTAGTATACAGATTTATCAGATGATCATGAATATCTAGGTCAAGTTCTCTTTTGGGTATCCTTGCACCATTTTTGACAGAGTAATGCCTTTTTGGACTTAGATAAAAAATTCCAATGTGGGGGGAGGGGGGCATAAGTATTTTACAAACATCTCATTATTTTTAATTTTAGAAAGTGCACTGTGTGAGTGTGTGCAATTGTGGTGGTGAGTGGGTGAAAATTGTCTTGTGTTTGTACAGTGTATATATGGATATGGAAAATGCTTCAAAATAAAGCATTTAAAAAATTTTTTTGGAAAGTATGGCAATCATATACCATGCAGTACTCAGAAATGCTAAATAAAAGGCTGCGTAGAAGAAAAAAAAATAATTAAAACTACCAATCAAATAAGTATTAAATGTAAATCTTTTAAGATGAAGGTTTTGCTTTGTCAGATTCTTTGCTTATAGGGACACTTACCTTTAATAATGTCATGACAGGTGAGGCACATGGCTGGTCTTCATGCTGGATCAGTTCTTAGTTAAAACCATCCAGTATTGCCCCAAGATTGCCAGATGTACAGACAAAACCTGTAATTTAGCAAGCTTCTGTAATATTGAATTATTACATAGGCCATAGTTGTATGTGCAACTGATAATGATGTAGGACTAAGGTGCCTGACAAATAATGAGTTATAAATCTTACAAATATCCATTTATTTGATACAAATCTTAACTTTCTTCATTAAATTTTATCAATGATTTTACAAGAAAATCAGAATAAAAATTGTCCTTTTTATACATAAAAAATATTTTCATTTAAAATCTTTTTATTTAAAAATATTTGTTGCATTTTCATATTTAGGGTACCCTTCCTAGGCCAACAATAAAAAAAATGATTTGTTTGATGTACTCTGACCGACCTGTTAAAATAGCCCCTACCCATTTGCATTCATTTCTTGGGGGCACTTAAAATTTTTTAACACCCCCCTTAATTTCCATAGATGTTTTAAAGATAAGGTATCATATTTTTTTTTAGGATGCTTTTTAATTTATAAATACAAAGTCTTTGTAACTAAATGAAAACATTAACAGATTTCTGAGTCTGTGGTTTTAAATATGACAGTTATCAATTTATTCAATGCTGTAAGACATAAGAAAAAAAAAACTAGAAATATGTCCACAGGACAGGAATGCCCGCCAAGGGTATATTAGTCATGCAAAATGAAAATTTGTATGAAATTTGATCAGAATATCTTGAAAAATGTTACAGTTGAATTGCTTACATCAGTATGTATCAGCATATGAAGTTTGACACTAATTTCAGAGATGTGAGGTCAAGGTCAAATAAAAGGTCAACGTCATGTTGATGCAGTTGAATTGCTTACATCAGAATGCATCACCATATGAAGTTTGACACTAACTTAGGAAAATTGAGGTCAAAGTCAAAAGAAAGGCCAAGGACAAAAAATGTTTGTTTCAGTTGAAAAGCTCTCATCAGTATGGTAAGTTTGATACAGTAAATCTCGTTTCGTACGAACACGAATATTGCGAATTCATGGGTATAGCGAAGTCATCTTGGATTCCCAGCTATAAAATTTCAATGAATTTCTTATACGATTATAATGAATTATGGATATAGCGAAGTAATTTCATAGGTCCCAGCAACTTTGTTATAACCGAGTTTTGCTGTAACACCATCTTGAATGGTATGTTTAAAACTAAGTTAAACACTAATTTAAGAAAAGTGAGGTCAAGGTCAAAGGAAAGGTCAAGGACAGAAAATGTTGATGCAGTTGCATAGCTCTTATCAATATCTATCAGCAAAGTTTGATGAAATATCCTGTATAGTTTCTTTGAAACTGGGCTTTGAACTGAGCTAAACGCAAAGTGTGACGCATGGACAGAAAGACAGAAGACAGTCATGACAAACACTATATGCCCAGGCCATAATCATGGTGGGGCATAAAAAAACTACCGGTACCTACCAACCTACCTGCCAACCTTGATAAAAGTGGGTAGGAGTACATCAAACAAATATATTTTTAAAGCTGGCCAGTTGTTGACTAGTATATTAGTCATTTTGATATGCTATGTCTTCTAAAAAATAAATTTTATATTTGTCTTAGAACTTATTTTGTTGCATCAGTTTCATACCTGTATTTGATTTGCATTGTTTTGGATGCTGATAATTCAAAGTCAGTATAGTCGTAGGTGCTGCTGACTTTGGATCTCTTAGGAACTGCATCTTTTATCTGTGTTACTGGTTCTCTTGTACCTCTGCTATAAATAAGTTTTAGTGTATACAGTTGTGTAATATCAGTGAATAAATTGAACAGACAGATTGATTGTTTATTGTTTATCGTTCCTCTCAAGAATTTTTCACTCATATGGAAACGACAGTGGAGAGCTGCAAATTTTGTCCTAATGACCTATACTCAGCACTCAGGGCCATTGACTGATTGAGCAGGAAGGGATCTTTTTTGTGCCAACACCTGACCTACTGCAACAAGGGGCCACAGTTATACTGTATCATCCCAAGGACAGGTCTCCACATCCCACAGTGGGATTCAAACTCATGATGTAAGGATCAACACCTTATTTCGCGACTCTACTAGAGCAGACACTCTAACCACTGTGCCATGCAGGCGAATTTGAACAGACAGAAAAATTTACCAAAATCCATAAACCATGTTCTATAAACAGGAAACATACTCTCTAAAGTGAGAAATATGGTCATCTAAATTTTATTTATGCAGAGAGATGGCAAAATATATGAACATCTTATCCTTGTGAAATAGATCTAAATTGCTACAAACATTTAATGCTCAAAAAAATAATCCACTAATACAAAGCAGGTTAAAATTTACAACTGAAAAACAAGATGTGTTTGTGAAACACTGATGCCCCCGTACGGCAATTTAGCGACAGTTAAGCTTTCTCAAATGCAAATCAAATATGTTAATTGTACCAAAGTAAGGTCTTTTCACAAGAAATGAGAAATGTAAACACTAACTACACCTGCTCCAGGGTTATGACCAATGTTAACATCTTAAAAGATAGGACAAATTCCGGGTCAAGGTCAAAGGGTCAAGGTTGTTGTGTTCTAAAGAAAGGCCTTGTCTCAAAGATTATGTATGGGAAGTATGAAAGCACTGGCCCTTACCGTTCAAAAGTTATGGCCAAGGTTAAAGTTTGTAAAAAGTAGGTCAAACTTTAAGGTCAAGGTCAAAGGGTCAAGATTCTTGATATCCAATGAAAGGTATTGTCACAAGGATTACACATGTGAAATATGAAAGCTCTAGCCCCAACTATTCAGAAGTTATGGTCAAGGTTAAAGTTTGTAAAAAGTAGCTCAAACACCAAGGTCAAGGTCAGATGGTCAAGGTTCTTGAAATCAAATGAAAGGTCTTGTCACAAGGATTAAATTTGTGAAGTATGAATGCCCTAGTCCTAACCCTTCAAAAATTTCTGTCAATGTTGTATTTTTAAAGTGGGTCAAACTCCAAGGTCAAGGTCAAAAGGTCAAATTTGGTGGTACCCAAAGAAAGGTCTTTACACAAGGAATATACATATGAAATATGAAAGTCATAGCTCCACTAAATCAAAAGTTATTGGCAAGGTGAAAGTTTATACGGACAAACAGAGAGACAGAAGACAGACGGAAAGACAAAAATTTCACCCCCGAAACTTCGTTTACGGGGGCATAAAAAGTATATTAAAAAATTACCCAAACAAAAGTGATGCAGCCACAATCAGGTTGGGCACACACCCCCAAATGGTCATTAAACCCCCGTTTGGTGGTCAATCGCCCATATCGGCGTCTTTTTTACCTACCAAATGGTGGTCTTTTTTATTCAAATCCAAATTTTATTAAAATACATTTACTTAGGCATTGGAGAATTTTAATTAACATATTCCTCGTACATTTAATGCAATTAAGTCAATTTTCCATGTGGAATTTCTTTGGAACTTCGTAAAAACAAAACCCACAGTTGTGCGTGACGGCCGAACTATTTGCTCAAACAATACGAAAAAGTATTTTGTTGTGTATAGTTTGGTAAAAAATATATTTAAACAAAGGTGTTAGTCTAGAGAAGTAACTTTTCAAATGATCTTTGATCTGCGTCTGTATAAATCACTATAAAATCCAATATACATAAGCTCCTCGCATTGTATTCGTATGGTGGGCACTTACTGCTATAATATTCATTTTTTCTACATTTGAATGTAACATTTATTTTTTATTTCTTTTAGGATGAAGTTACGATTTCTGTGCGACCCTTTGTGGTTTCATATGCATATCTATGATGTATCTACTATATTTATTAAAAATTTTTGAATAAAAAATTTACAAAGTGACATTTGCAATTATTCTTATTTCTATTCCAAGATTAGAGTTTTTGAGCGATTATTTTATCAAAAATTCACGGCATGTCGTATTTATGTAAAAAATAAAGCCATAACATACGAAATAAACGATATGTAACAGGAAAGGAGAAAATGCATAGCTGGACCGGGAATCGAACCCAGGACCCCTGCATCACTAGTCAGGTGCTCTACCGATTGAGCTATCCAGGCCGATATCCACGGCCCTTACCATTACATTCCTCCCTCCTTAACTCTTTACCCCTTAATGCCACGATTTGACGCACTGGCCATATCCTTATAGTGTTTGCCTGGCTGCCCCTTAGAGCGTTTTAGTTGAATTGGAGTGCAGTTTAAAACTGAACTAATAAGGGTCAAAATAATTTATTTATACCATGTATTATATATCATTGAACTCGTAATAAATTGAAGTTTTAAAATCTATTTGCAAAATTTTAATCGGAGTTATCTGTAAATAAATAATTCAGGTGAAAGCAGGTGTAAATCGCAAAATAGATATTTTCAACATGTAAAACGGCTTTAATATGCCAAAACTGTCTATATAAATAATAAAAATTATGTGTGATGATATAATTGATGCTTAAATTATCATTTATTATCAATTTTATAAGTTTAATTCCTCAGAAATCAATAAATTGCAGGACTTCAATGTGACAAAATTTTAAACCTAAAACTTGATTTAAAACGTTTTTGGAAAGCATTAATAAATATGTGTAAAATGGAAGGTATGTTCTGAATTTGTGAGAAACAGGTGACAAAATCGGCACTGCGCGGTTCCGAAATTCACAAAATTTTCGTAAGTTATGTTGGAGTGTAAAACACATATAAATCATTATAATTTTCAAACCTTTCAAGAAATAGGTAGTTTATATCTTGAATTTAATGTAATGCTTTACTGGATGGAAAATATTGCCTAACTGAGTTATATGCTCAAAAACATCGTATACAAAGATCCGCCATTTTGAATTTTGGTGGGACTTTCCAAGAATTGTTTGTTTACACAGGTAAATCACGTTTCCTGACTGTAATGATGCAAATCTATTGTTAACCTGCAGGTGGCCATGCTCAAATAATTTGTATACAAGCGGTAATTTCAAGTCAAATTAACAATGAAATACACATGCCAAAAGTCGTCATTAAAGGTCAAAAGTCATTAAGGGGTAAAGGAGGTCAAGGTCTAAGGGGAAAAAGTTAAAGGTCTTTTCCAAAGACCCCAACCCAGGCTCATTGCAGGTCTTTCACCTGTCAAATCCATGTCATGGCACGGCAACTAATGTGTAACAGGAAAGGAGAAAATGCATAGCTGGACCGGGAATTGAACCCAGGACCCCTGGATCACTAGTCAGGTGCTCTACCGATTGACCAGCTACCCAGGCCGATATCCACGGCCCTTACCATTACAGATATAAAAGAGAATTCTTACCTTTCATCATATTTTACTTTTTGAAACTTTACACTAATGGGCCTCCGTAGTGAAATCAGTCTTTTGACCCAAGTTCGGAAAAGAATTCTTAATTGGTTAATTTAATTGACGGTTCCCCGGATGAAACACGATTGAAGGCTCAACTACGCGCGAGATGGAGGGGATTTTTCTTTTTAAGTTAAAACACAGAAAAGTTACTCTTGTTTACATAGGTGACGATTTTGTCAAATATTTGAAACACTGCGCAAAAAAGCCGCGTTGAAATTCTTCGTTCAAGAGTTTAGAAAAATATCTATATTTTATTTCCCGTGAGTTGAAATTATGCGCCATTTCATGTTATTCCAGAGAACTGAACAAAACGATTTTTCTCTCCCATTTGGTAGGTAATAAAGAAGTATATTAAAAAATTGACCACCAACAAAATGACCATTTGGGGGTGTGTGCCCAACCTGACAATATCATAAATATGACGTTGTTTCCCATCAATGACAAAACTCCTCTATAATCAGCTGATGAATAACATCTCGGATTCAAGAGAAATCTGTTAACAAATTAAGGCAAAAGATAATTTTGAAACAATTTCATTCGGTTAAGAATAAAACACTTCATTTTCCCTCAAAATAAACAAGAAACGGATGACACTTTCTGATTTGTTTACCTGTATTTCGATCGAAATATTCCTGGTGGACGCTCGCACCCAATTTCTTATGACATGAAATTCATACATCGTAAGTCGGACAACCCTTCGGCTTTGTAAAACTATTTAATTTCCCCCTGAAAGCTGTGTGTAAACCAGAAACATGCTGAACTCGATACACATTCACCATGCACCATGACCATGTGCGAGGAAGTGAAAATTATCGTAAAATCTCGCGAGTCACGTGACGAGACTTACAGACTCTGGACCGAATTTTCTCAGCTTTTGAAATAATGAATAAAAAGTTCACTTCCGGTAAAGGGAGAAGTCATTTCAAATGGAATTTAAATAAACATAATGAAGAGAGATATCTCTTTGCAATAAAGAGATATCTCTTTTTGCTTCAGAGATATCTCTTTTAGACCCTTTTGAAAGATATCTCTTTCACTTTGAGAGATATCTCTTAAGATAAACTTAGAGAGATATCTCTTTTACTTAAAGAGATATCTCTTTAACTTGGAAAGATATCTCTCTAAGTGAAAGAGATATCTCTCTAGGTGAAAGAGATATCTCTCTAGTTGAAAGAGATATCTCTCTAACGATCAGAGATATCTCTTTAACGTTCAGAGATATCTCTTATCACGAAAGAGATATCTCTCAAGGAGAAAGAGATATCTCTCAAAGAAAAAGAGATATCTCTCTAAGTATAAGAGATATCTCTCTAACTTTAAGAGATATCTCTTTCTTATAGAGATATCTCTTTAGAATAAGAGATATCTCTTTAAGTTGAGAGATATCTCTTATTTTTAAGAGATATCTCTCTAAAATGAGAGATATCTCTGTAATTTTCAGATGAAATTTATTTTCCGAATAAATAGTAAAAGGGCTTTCATCGGTGCTCGGAAAGAAACAAAAAACGCTTTTCTAAGATTTACTTTTATTGATTAAACTAAAATATTCTCTTTTGATTAAAACACATGTCCGTAACATTTTTATTCAATTTCTCATTGCTTTTAGAACACATTTTTGAGTATGACCCTTTGTATAATGGAAAATGGCATATCCTATGATTTGCTGTACTAGTTTTTTTCTTTCTGAAAGGTGATTTCCTAAGTTTGGGAAATGAAACAAGTCAAAGGTTGAAAGATCTGGCGTATATTGTTGATGTGACAAATCATTAACTTTCTGTTTACCCCAAAACTCATTTACTCTTCATGGCCTGTTGGTTTGGACGCTGTCATGAAGAAATTTAA